AAGTTTACTTTATTAATTGTTTATACACATAGATGGCTACACTTGTACTGTCACCAATGAGCCAATTACAAGTACTACCTGTCTCATCCATTTACTCTTTACCTTGATTTATAAAAATATTTTATGTTATCTTATTTTGCTAAATTAAAAATAACACCATCGATATTCACAGCATTAGTAAAACACGTCTTTCCCATTTTCAAGGAATGGTGAAATTAGGAAAGGTCACAAGGTCTACTAATTGACTCCTTTGTGGCTTAACACTAGCAGAGCCATCTATGTGCAGAGACATTTCACAAAGATATAAAAAATGAGCACAACATTTTCCCCATTTTTTATTCATTTTTCTCGGCGGCATGTGGTTAAATAGATAAGTAACACCACTCTTGGGAAAACATTATTTGAGGCAATCATGGAAGAAAATCCAGACTTACAGTGTGCTCTATATTCTATTATATTTCTTTAAACATCAAGAGTGAAATAGACAGAACTAAGTGCATTAATTCTTGTTTCTTCTCTCTCTTTCCCTTTCCCGCGCCACAGGCAGAGCTATCATGCCGGGCGTCCCATGACCAGCATCTCGTAAACGAAGTGAAAACTGAGTGGGGAAGACTGAGACACAAAAACTTATCACTACTTATTATGGAATGAGAGAATGGGGGGGAGATAAGGGGGAGAGACAAGCCAAACCCCTAAAGGATACGTGTCCTATATTGAAGCATTCTTAGGGTCTCAATATTTTCAAGTCTCGTGGTGTATGGGTTCCAAAAATGCGACTCATTTAGACAAGAGTTGACAAGAGGCACTTTGCCACGTCTGTGTCACATCACAAGACAGCATGTCCTTTCAGGGTTTTATTTTTAAAGATATATCACATTTTGCTGACCAATGCAAAAGTTGTTTTATTTCATTATTTGAAATTTTTGTCGAGTTGCTGAAATATTATGCAAGAGATATGTACATAAAAATGTACTGAAGTTTAGTAACATTTAAATTTCTTAAAAACATACAAAAAATGAGTAGTACTAGAGCATGGTAAAATTCCGAGACAGTTAGTATAATGTTCATGCTTTAGTAGTCTCGATTCCACATGTCACATTAAACAATAATCTTCCTTAATATTCATGCCAATCATGATAATTAATAAAACTTCTTGAAACTACAGCCTTTCTGGACTATTCTTTTAACTCACATACTATTAAAGCAAAGCTTTATTTGTTTTACAAATTTAAAACCAATATTTTTTCATTCCCTTACAATAATGTAAGTTACGCTTCTCGAAAATTCAAGTATAAGTTACACACACTGACCAAACATTTGAAGTGAGTCCTGGACTAAATATGGTAACTATTCTTCCTTTCCTTAATTCATCAATAAGTTAAAAATATTGGATACCCAAAATTCAGAGTCTGGCACTATCCAGTGAAGAAGTTCTGAGCTTCATGAGCATACAGGAATTTGTATGCAATTTGACATGATTCACAGCAACACAACAAAATGCCAAAGGTGACACACTGCACCCAGGAAAACATATAGTTAAACACTGAGTTCTCAATAAAGTAAAACAAATCTGGACTGTTGTAGCATGTCTATAGCATCACATAAACTAATTGTATGACCCCTCAGAAAAATTTAATTCTAGATGTATTGAGCTAAAGTAATCCATGACTGCATTGTCCTTTTAGATTCTGAAGTCCTCCTTATGGCAACAGCAAAGTGAAATGAGGTATTATGTAATACTATCTTTATAAATGAAGGGAAAGTGCATAGTTCCAGAAGGCTCCCAAATAAGTGGAAGAGGTAAGCAAGGAATGAACTTATTTCATTACACACTTAAAAATTTTCTTCATGTATCTAAAACTTTTACATGTCATTTTCTTTCACAATGCAATGGGATGACAACCACAGGCAGTGATGGGGGATTCAGGCTAATGGACTGTATTGTAAAATGAAACTAAATGCATTTCAAAATTTACGTGTCCTTAATTTTTTTTTTATATCCCAATGGCGCCGGGTGTACAAAACAAAAAAAACAACTCTACGCTTAAGCAAACAAAGGCGGCGCACCGACTTTGAGCCCGAATCACTGGCTTGCCATGCTTTGGCGCGCCGCCGGCTCGTTTGGCTGCACGCCAGCTTTCGAGCGCTTTGTTTACACGCCGATCGGTGTCACCCGGCACCAAGGGGCTATAGCATGGAGGCCATTCATGGGGGACTAAGGCATGGGGGTGCTTGGGGATTGCTTACCTACAATTGCAAATCTATTTACTATAACATACTCTGAAGATCATCATGATCGTTACTGATATTAGTCTTTACTATTCTATAGACTACAATATGCAGTGCCATTTATAAAGATATAACAAAGTACAAAAACAGCTGAGACAACTATAAACAAAAGATAGTGTAACATTTGAGAACCAGCTTTCAAATGACCATCCTTTGAGATCCTAAAAGAACCTCACAGGTTCATAATGGATCAAGAGGGTGTTGATGGAAAAGGATTCCTAAACAACGCAACAGAATTCATAAAGACAGAGAAAATCCTTGAAGTGGGACCTTGCCAAGGAGACATGGTTGGTTGCCCAGAACACCCAGGACCAATATGCTAGACTGACATAATCAGAACACAGAAAACTCTGGCTTAAGGCAATGTCACTGTCATACTCAAGAAGTTAAAGTTTAATCCCGAGGAGCCTCAAGTTGGTAAGACAGAAACCATATTTTAAACCTCGCACAGCTGACTAGGATTCAGTAATAATCCTCCAATCAATAATACCAGCTAATGCCAATCAAAGTGCATTGCTAAATCTACCCGCTGTATCCACCTGCATGGGTACCTCATGTACCTCAGTACATCCAGTTCCTCACAACACAAATGATCAATCTGCACAACTTTCTAGGTTTCCTACAAACCTCCTCCAACTGGGGTTAAATATATGTATATATACATATCTATCTATATCTATATGTATATATATACATATTCATATACATAGATATAGATATTTATATATATATGCATATATATATATAAACACATACATATATATATATATGCACATAAATACATATACATATATATATACAATATATACATATATATTCATATACATATATATACACATATTCATATACAAACATATACACATATATATACATACATATATACATATATGAATGAATATATATTTTATAAATATACATGTATACGTATTATAATTATAATTAATTATAATTTATAATTAAATTAATTATTAATACATATATATACATATAAATTCATATATACATACATACAGATACATATAAATTCATATATACATACATACATATATATATATGTATATATTCATACAAATATATGTATATACATACATATAAATATGTATATATACATACATATAAATATGTATATATACATACGTGTATATTTATATACATACATATGTGTACATACATATATATAAACACATATTTGTATATATAAGTATATATAATATTTATATATATGTACATATGCACATGTATATATAAGTATATATAATATTTAAATATATGTACTTATGCACATGGGTATATATAAACATATACATATATAAACATATATATTTTATATATTTATATATATAAAATTATATATATACATTCATATCTATATCTATATCTATATATATCTATATGTATATATATTTATATATACATATATATGTACATATATCCATGTATATATATATATATGTATATATATATGTATATATATATATATATATATATATTTATATATATATATATATATATATATATATATATATATATATATATATATATATATATATATATATATATATGTATATATATATATGTATACACGTGTATACATATATATATATCTATATGTATATATATTTATATATACATATACATATACATAAACATATACATATACATATACATATACATATACATATATATATATATATATATATATATATATATATATATATGTATATGTATATGTATATGTATATGTATATGTATATGTATATGTATATGTATATGTATAAGTTTATGTTTATGTTTATGTTTATGTTTATGTAAATGTGTATGTGTATATGTGTATATGTGTATATGTGTATATGTGTATATGTATGTACATGTACATGTACATGTATATATGTATATATATATATATATATATATATATATATATATATATATATATATATATATATATATATATATATGTATACACGTGTATACATATATATATATATCTATATGTATATATATTTATATATACATATACATATACATATACATATACATATATATATATATATATATATATATATATATATATATATATATATATATATATATATGTATATGTATATGTATATGTATATGTATATGTATATGTATAAGTTTATGTTTATGTTTATGTTTATGTATATGTAAATGTGTATATGTGTATATGTATGTACATGTACATGTACATACATGTACATGTATATGTATATGCATATGTATATGTATATGTATATGTACATGTACATGTATATGTACATGTATATATATATATATATATATATATATATATATATATATATATATATATATATATATATATATATATATATATATACATTATATATAAGTATAAATATGAAAATATTTATTATCATATACTTAAATATGTACGAAATATATATATATATACATATATATGTATATATGTATACATATACGTATGTGTGTATATATATGTATATGCATATCTATGTATATCTCTATATACATATGTATATATCATATGAATATGTATATATATGTATAAACGTAAATGTGTGTATGTATATGTACATATACTCATACATATATGATGACAGACCATATGAACATTTTGGGGAAACAGGGGAAGGGGCAAACAGACCTCTTTCCTGCAGTGATACAATGCAAAAGCTACATTTCAAAGGAAAACCACTCGTAAACCTTACCTCTGCCTCGCTATCTACGCTATCCTCATCTGAGCCATGTTCTGAGGGTGCGGGTGTTGTGGCTCGTGAAGAGGTGGGTGATGGGGGTTCAGACAGAGGTCGGGGATAGTTGAGCCGTCCTGCACCTGCTGCTTCCTCCTCCATGGCCAGCTCTGGGTACACTGTGCGTAGGGCATGTTGACGCGCTTGACGATAATACTGGAAAGTAATTTTTTAAAAGAAATTTGCTAAATATTTTATACTTCATTCTCCTTTCTCTATTCTTTGATCTAACTCCCTTTTCTTTTTAAAATAATGACTGGCAGTTTCTAACATGCAAAATCAATTAAATTTTTTGTTGCATCAAAAGTAAAATATCTAAAAACTTAAAAATAAAACAAATAAAATATAAAATTATGCAAAATTATTGTTCATTAAATCCTTCCATTACTCAAGACAACACATAGCTATTGTGTTTGAAAGATCTTTTATATTTTCATACAATAAACATTCATAAATGCCTCATACCTGTCTCCATAAAATTCTTAAATAGCACCTTCCCAGATATACGAAATACACTTGAAATTTCCACATATGGAATACATTTATCAATAATCAAGAATGCATCTATAACATAACAGAAACTATTTATGAGGCATCTTACTGTTCCCAAAATCTTCCAGTCAAGCAGTTCTGATAAGCGCTCAGTACGGTTTCTCTGGATGATACGTTGGCGGCGATTCAGCTGAACAAATTCAAAAAGGTTTTGTGCTAGTTGCCTCACGGACTCCTCTAGGCTTATGTATCTGCGGTCAATGATGTATATACCATAGCTCATTGGGTCAGCTATGTGCTCAGACATGAAGCAGCCAAAGCCTGAAAAAATCAGGAATAAGTTCATTAGACATTTTCATTCCCTGATTGTAAAAATGTACACAAAATTTTGTTAGTGTATTACATTAAAAACACTAAGTGATGATATAACAATTTTTAAAATTCCATATATTATCTGTTTCATTCTTTTACTTTGGCTTTTACCTTAGACTAGATATACAAAATGGCTATTATATACAAATCAACAAACTAAGCAGTTTCAAAACTCGTGCCAACATTTAAAATTAGCCCAACCACCACGGATTTACGTTCTGTCCCCTGAAGTTTTCTTGTGAATTTTGTTACATACAGATGGCTCCACATGTGCTCAGCTGGCAAGGAGTCTATTAGTTGGCCCTAGAAACCGATCCTGATTTCCCCATTCCTTAAATTGGTGGGGAAGTATTTTTCTTTTTAATATAATTGATATCAATACTATTAATCTTGTCATTGATGTTATGACTATTAAATTATTAAAATCTTGGGAACATTTAAGACAATGAAATAATACAAAAGAAACCTTCCAAAAGTCAAGGAAAAGGATAAACAGATGAGATAGGCAGTACTAATAACTGACTCCTTGGTAATCAAGCACTTGTAGAGCCATCTATGTGTAAATACAATTAATAAACTTATATTACAATGGGCATGGCATGTACTCTTGCCATTTGTGCCGACCGGGTTAAAGTCCAAATAAAGAATAAAGAAAGTACCTGAGAGGTTGGTGGTGACTGACGGAATGCCCATGACAGTGCATTCAGCAGGCGTATAACCCCAAGGCTCATAGTACGAAGGGAATACGCCTAAGTGGCATCCGCGGACAAATTCCTCATAGTCCATGCCGAAGAGTGGATTGGTGACCGACAGGAATTCGGGATGGAAAATGACCTGAAAATAATTTCCAAGACGGGTAAAGCAATATTCCTGTTCCTAAAAATAATACAAGGTTGTATTATCGAGCTATACAGACTATGCAAGGTACTAAAAAAGACCTGAATGTAATAGAAATAAAGTCCAGAGTTGTATAAGAATTCTGACCATCTAAAAGACTGTAAAAAACATTTTGTTAACCAGCAGTAAGAGAAGGTAAGCTGCCTACAACTTGTCTTTTCCTGAGGAAATGTTCAAGGCCTTTTATTGATGAGCCGAATGATGGTGGTTTCTTTTTCTTTCTTTTCATAGACTTGGAAACTTTAAATTATGCAGAAACACAGGTAATCACGAAGCAAAAAATATATATATTTTACTTTCAGAGAATAAATGATGATGTAAAGTAGTAATAACAGTAATAACATAATGATAATAATAACAATGACAAAAATAAGGAAAATCATTATAATAATGATAATAATTATATTGGTAATAATTATGATTATGATTATAATAATAATAATAACAACAACAACAATAATAACAATAACAATAATAACAACAAATATAACAATAACAACAATAATAATAATAATATTAAAAATAATAATAATAATAACAATAGTATGATTATCATACTGATATTGATAAGGGTGATAACAAAAATAATAATTATAATAACAATGGTAATATTAACAACAAACAATAACCTGATGATGATGATTATCATTACTATTACTATTCCTATTATCATTATCATTATTATTATTATTATCTTTATAATTATCATCATTGTTATTAATGTTACTGCTGTTGTTGTTATTGTTGTTAATATTACATTATATCTATAACTGTAATTATAATAATGAATGTCATTATAATCATTATCATCATTGTCATCCTCCTTGTCATCATCATTACCATCATTATTACTATTATTATTATTATTACTATTATCATCATCAGCCCTATTATTACTATTATCATTATCATTATCATCACATTATTATTATCATGATTATTATTATTATTATTATTATCATGATTATTATTATTATTATCATTATTATTATATAATGTATCTAAATGTCTGTCTGTGTGTCTTTCTGTCAGCCTGTCATGTGCCAAGAGAGGCCTGGAGTCTTACCTTAACTCTATCGTGTGTGTCGTTGAACATGCGGCATCTACGCAGAGCGCTGAGTACGGGATCAACCGTATCATTTTCGACATTGTGTGTGGTGATGGGTGGCAGGTTCTTTCTCTGGGCTGCATATATACATCTTTTTAATCTAACCGTTTCCTCTTTCAGCAGTAGTTCATCTGGCTCGGGGAGGCGACCACTGTTATGGGAGAAGTGGCAGGAACGTGGATGATGTTCTTTTTTTTTTTATTGCTGTTCATACATGTCAAAACTTTTTATTTCTGGGAATTTGACATTTTCTGGATGGGCTAAATGCTTGCAGTAACAGATGTACTATTTTGAAGCAATGATAATATTTTCCCTTATTAAAGGAGAGAGAGAGAGAGAGAGAGAGAGAGAGAGAGAGAGAGAGAGAGAGAGAGAGAGAGAGAGAGAGAGAGAGAGAGAGAGAGAGAGAGAGAGAGAGAGAGAGAGAATGAAACTGAAAGAGAAAAAGCAGAAATAATGAAGAAGACATAGAAAGAGAAAGGTACAAAACAAAAGAGAAAGACAGAAAGAATGAGAAAGACACTGGAAGAAAGAGAGTGAGTGAGACAGAAAGACATTGTAACTAAAAGGAAATGAAAGACACAGAAAGAAAGACAAAGGCACAGGGAGAATGAGAGACACAGAAATAGAAAAAAAGATGAAGACTTCTTCCTCCCTCCCTCTCTTTCTCTCTTTCCCATACTTACTCTCCTTCTTCATCTCAATCTCTTTTTCTCCCTTCTTCCTGTTTCTTTTTTTCATTTCTCTCTCTATCTGAGCAGATTTTTTCCCCTTAACCTCTAAACTACACAACTGTAAACGACAGTACTTACGTTAAGCAAATATCATACATGCGCTTGCCAATCTTCGACTGGATGTCATGAATGGCATCACGGAGACTTTTCGTCACAGCCTGGCCCCTAAGCGACTCAATGTTGAAGTTGTTGGTTTTTGCCGGGAAGATCATGAAGGCTATAACAGTCTTGTCTGTTCCACTGGCCTGGAATTTTACAACTTCCGTCATATATGTCTCAAATATTTATATGTATATGTATATATATATGTGTATATATATGTATATATATGTATATTATATATATATATATATATATATATATATATATATATATATATATATATATATATATATATATATATAATTTTTTTTTCTTCTTCTTCTTTATAGTATTTATCGTCAAAACCCAAAGGCACTAAAATAAAGTACACAACATTTTAAAAAAATAATAATAATAATATTTTCTTTCAATCAAGGTACTGGAAGTTAACAATTGGTCTTTTGTAAAAAAAAAAAAAAAAAAAAAAAAAAAAAACACAACAGGAAAATTAAACTCTCACAATACCCTGAGCATCCTCACCTTCATGTAGTGATTCAATCTAGCCAAAGCCTCGATGAACAAGTCGGCTCCCTTGTTGCCAAACTCGTACCTTCCTGCAATGAAGAAATAGAGGGTCTTGTCGAGGTCAAAGTCCATGTGCCTGTAACGAAAGACAAGAATTTTATCCTTAAGAGTCAGTAATAATTAAAAAAAAAAAAAAAGAAAAAGAAAAAAAAAAAAAAATACATAATTTAATCCAATTGGCACATATGACAAGAGTAGGTGCCATGCCCACTGTAATACAAGTTTATTTATTGTCTTTACACACAGATGGCTCTACATGTGCTTAGTCACCAAGGAGTCAGTTATTAGTCCTACCTCTCTCGCCCTTTTAATCTTTTCCTCGACTTTTACATTATTTCATTGTCTTAAGTGTTACCAAGATTTTAATAACAATTTAATAATTATAACTTTAATAACAATAATATTAGTATCAATATCTATAGTATTAAAAAAACACAATTTCCCACCTATACAAGGAATGGGGAAATCAAAATCAGTCACTAGGGCCTACTAATAGACTCCTAGCCGGATAAGCACATGTGGAGCCATTTCTATGTAACAAAATTCCTAAAAAAACTACTGGGGACAAAACATAAACAAAGTAAAGTACAGAGTATATATATGTATATATCTATATCTATATCGATATCTATCTATACATATATATATATATACATATACACATATATATGTGTGTGTATATACATACATACATATATATATATATATATATATATATATATATATATATATATATATATATATATATATATATATTAGGTTTGTTAGACTGATCACAAATTATATGCTGGGTACAGTTCAGATCAAGTTTTATATAAAGATGCCTGAAGCCTTTATATGCAGACCCTGGCTATGCAGGGTCTCTATATTTCATTCTATATCTAAGCAACTCATCCCAGAACTTGAACCTAACACAGTTCTTTAGAGCAATTTACTGGGATATGCTTTGTTCAGAGACAAGTAAAAAAAAAAAAAGAAAAAAAAAAAAAAAAGAAAAAAAAATTAAAATCTCTTAATGTTAATGGCAATGGATAGAGAAGCAAAAATCTTAACTCTAAAGTTTCTTGCTCCACTGAACTTGTACAGTTCTTCCACTGTAGAGTTTTCAAAAGCAGATACAACCAGTGTCAACTTACTGTTCCCTTTTGTTTCCCCGAAGTTCAACATAAAACAATCTCTTACTAAGATCTATGACAGTTTCCACATGATTAGGAATGACAGGTAGGTTTTTAAAATCCCTTAAATTTCCCAAGAAGTTATTCTTGCACAAACCATCTTTTTCACACGATGAATCAAAACATATAATATCAATCCTGTTTGTAGGTTAACTAAAAAAAACAAAAAAAAAAAAAAACAAGCAAGCATGAGCAAACAAGACCAGAAAAATCTAAAATTTCTTATTCACTCAACTCTTCAACTCACTCACTCATGCTCTTTCTCCTTTCCTCTCTCTTCCCACCTTCCTTTCTGGAACCTTTCTCTTTCCCTCTCTCACATTCTCTCTCTTCCTCTCTCTCTCTCTCTCTTCTACCTCCCACCCTCAACCCTTTTTAAACTCATCCGCTGGAGACCTACCCGTAGAAATGCCCTCGGATGAAGTCGTTGATCTTCTCCTTCGATATAGCATGCATGTTCTGAAACTCATGCAAGGCGGCAAATTTCTTGACGTTGAGGCCATTGGGCGTGATGATGTCGGGCTTGCGCTTGAGGAGGTGCTCTGCCTCAACACCTGTGATCTCTGAGACAGTAGTGAATGTGTTGGATAGGTGGACAGCACAGCGTTCCATGCAATACCTGTGGTAGATGCCTCGCTTACCCGCCTCCTCATCTATGTTGAACTGCAAAGGTTAATAATACAATTATGACTTTAATTATGATGAATAAGAACCAAAAGACTGCAATAAATAAATAAATAACTGAATAACAAACAGCAATAATAATAACATCAATATTACTTACATTTATACTACTAAAAGTGATACTATTAACAAAAAGTAACACTTAACACAAATTCTAAACCAAACCCAAACAATACTAATAAGTGATAATTATGAAAATAATCATATAAAAAAAAATTAACAAAATCAACAATAACAGCCACCATAATCATGTCATCAACAGAAGAAGGAAAAGAGAGAGAGAAAAAAAATAATAACAATAGTAATAAAAAAATAGTAATGATTATTGTAACCAAAACAGCAATAACAATAATAATGATAAAAATATCAACAAAAATTATTACAACAATAATAATGGTAATAATAATAATGACAATAATTGTAATAATAATAATATCAGCAAAAACAATAATAATTATCATATAATAACAATAATGATAATAACAATAATAAAAAATATAATGAAAAATAACAACAATAATAAAGACATTTATCTTATTCATCATCATCATCAACATCATAATGATAATAACAAAAACAATAACAATAATGATATCAAAACAGAAAAAAAATATCCAAACCAATAACAATACCAATATTAATATCAATTATAATACTAATACTAGTATCAACATTAACATTAACATTAATAGTAATATAAAAAATAACATTAAAATCAATATCAATAATAGTATCAAATATAATTTCAATTATAATAATAATATTAGTACTGCTACTACTATTTATAACAATAATCATATCAAAAATAATAATACTATCAATACCAACTTTCACATTTATATGAAAATTAATATCAAACCCATAAACACATTGTTCATTTTCTTCTAATCCTGTTAATATCGATACTATAATCGTCATTATGATTACCACTCACGACTATCATAATGTTATCAAAATACTAGCAATAAAAACCATCAAAGAGATAAAAAAAAAAGAACCTTTCCAATAAATGAAGGATAAAGATTCACAGATGTGATAAAATCCCTGTTGCCTAAGGACTTTTGGGGCCATCTCTGTGGAACTATAATTAAAAACTAAGATGATAATGATGATGATGATGATGATGATGATGACATTAATAATAATAATAATAATAATAATAGCAATAATAATACCGATAATAATAATATTACCAACAATAATAATGATGATGATAATAATAATAATAATAATAATAATAATAATATTACCAACAATAATAATGATAATAATAATAATAATAATAATAATAATAATAATAATACCAATAATAATAATAATAATAATAATACCAATAATAATAATAATAATAATACCAATAATAATAATAATAATAATAATACCAATAATAATAATAATAATACCAATAATAATAATAATAATTATTATTATTATTATTATTATTATTATCATTATCATTATTATTATTATTACTATAATTATAATCATAATTATAATAATAACAATAATAATGATAATAAATATTATTACTAATACAATTATCATTATCAAATATCAATACAAATATTAACCAACTGGATCCAGGCACTTCACTTCTCGCACATGCCCAAAATTTGGGCTTTAGTCTTAGTTGAGTGGTGACTCTCCTAGGTCATTTGATATGCTATATCAAGATGGTATAGACAGTTTTGATTGATCAGACACCAAGTCATGTCTCTAGGGAGTCTATAACAATAACAATAACACTAAGTAACATTTGGCTATTTGTCATTTTTTTTATATTTTCACAATATTCAATATCTTGTAATAAACCCTACATGATTTCCTGTAATACACCTTGCATCATCATTCATGGCAGGCAGGGATAGGATCCTTAGCATAGAAATAGTGTCCTTCCTGGAGCCAGCAATCTTCAGGCCATAGCTCACAGATAATACACATTCCACACTCATTCACCAATGGCAATAATACAAGATCCCTTTCCTAAATGCCCACTGAGTCTAATCACCAACTAAGCCTATTGCCCAAGACTTTGGTCCATGAAACAGATCCAGCAGGTTAAAAATGATAATAAGTATATAACCACAAGGACACCAGATAATGATAATGATAATGGTAATGGTAATGGTAGTGCTAATGATAATAATAGTGATGATGTGGTGATGATGATAACAAGAACAATAACAGCAATTAACCAAACTGATGTCATTAAAAAAAACCTCAGTTGCAAAATTCTTACAAATATAAATAATTTTAGGTATCAGCCCAAACTTTAGCAACATAGAGCAGGAAAATCTACTCGGAATTTTAGACTTTTGTAGTAAATACGCCCCATGTGACAAGAATACATGCCATGCCCACTGTAATACAAGTTTATTTATTGTATTTACACATTGATGGCTCTACAAGTTTTTAATCACCAAATAGCCAGTTATCAGAACTACCTATCTCACCTATTTACCCTGTTCCTTCACTTTAGGAAAGGGTCTTTTGTATCATTTCATTGTCTAAAATATTTTAATGACAATTTAATAATCATAACATCAATAACAATAATAACAGTATCAATAGCAATGGTATTAATAAGAAAAAAACATTTTCCCACCAATTCAAGGAATGGGGAAATCAGGATCGGTAACTAGGGCCTACTTGATAGACTCCTTGCCAGCTGAGCACATGTGGAGCCATCTGTATGTAAAAAAATTCACCAAAAACTACAGCAGACAGAACATAAATCCAGAGCAAATGGGTTAAGGAATTGGGAAGTCCCATATGGACTACTAGTTGATTCATTAGTGACCGAACACTAGTAAAGCCATAAACATGTAAAAAAAAAAAAAAAAAATCACAAAACCAAGATTACAGTGGACAGTTCATACACCCTACAGCAATGGGATTACTTTATCATTAATGGCAACATATGGCAATAATGAAAGGGACTTCAAAATACAGAGGTTAATCATGGTTTTTAACACTGTTCTCTTTTAATCTGACAAGACAGAGAACTATCACATAGAAGGATACACTTAATGAAAAAAATACATTGTAATAAAATATCTTATGGCATACTATCACCTTTCCAAGATGTAAATTTCCCATGAGTTACAGACAAAATTTTGCCTTGAATGTGACAATGTAACTACAGAGCCATAACTGGTAGTCATTTACATTCCTTTTAAGTATATCTTATCAAATTATGTCAGTTTTCATCTATGACAAATTTTTCTATCCAGTGTTCAATGAAAAAAATATCCAAGATGAAATATACCAAACGAAACGGAACGTAAAAGAAAAAAAAGAAAAGAAAAAAAAATATCATTCTTACAAACAAAATGAACCTCCACAGAAAACTTAAAAATGACAATAACAATGACAATGACATAAAAGGAACAACAAGCGAAGGAGCAGACTTCAAAGCAAAACAGCCAGGCACTTAACCCACAACACACACAGCAAAACAACAAACTTTTTAGAAAAATAAAACAAAAACAAAACAAAAAAAAAAGACAACAAATAACTCCAACACTGACCATGCAACATCAGACAATGAGGCAGATTGTCAGCTATACTAAAAACAACAGAAATCAAAAGATAAGAAAGCAAAACCAAGAAGCAAAATTTTTTTTTTTTTTACCAAGAATGTTCATTAAGGTGCAGAAGAAACGGAAGTAATTCACCTTTAAAAAAGAAAATGACAGAACAGGACAGAAGGGGAAATGAAAAGTAGCAACCAGACAATCTTAATCAAAAAACAAAAAAGTAGATGAAAGGAACAAACATGACACAATAACAGCACAGCATAGCACATCAAAAAAATAAAAAATAAATAAAAAATATATAAATAAATTTTTAAAAAAGTAATAAATAAAGCAAGACAAAAAAAGACAACAACACAGCGAGGATCACTGGTAAACTATGAGCAAAGCATATGAAAAAAATGCCCTTGCAGGATATTAGATATATTAAAAAAAAAAAAAAATCACTCAAACATGCTTCACCATATCAAACATAAAAAAAAAGGAAAATGATTGACCGAGATGACCATAAAGGAAGGGCAGAAACGCTAAAGTACAGGCAGTAACTCCTTAACCCATTCGCGCCGGGTGTCACATATACGTGACATGCCCACTGTGAGTTTACTTGTTTAATTGTTTTTACACATAGATGGCTACACTTGTACTTGCGCTGTCTGTCTCTCCCGTTTACCTTTTTCTTTAATTTACGAAAATATTTTAAGTTATCAGATTTTGCTGTTACTAATGTTCATAACATTATGGTAATCATAATGTTTATAATAAAAATAACCATCAACATTCATAGCCCTAGTAAAAAATACATTTTCCCGCCAAATGAAATCAGGTAAGGCAGAGCCATCTAGTGTAGAGAAATTTCACAAAAGGTATAAAAAATGAGCACAGCATTTTCCCCATTTTTTGTTCATTTTTACCCGGCACAAATGGGTTAAGCTAAAAAAAAGATAAGGCAGTTATGATACTGTTATAGGAAACTGAATTACGAAATATGGTAATGACTAAGAGACATATAAGAATTAAATGTTGTCATGAATAAACCATCTGACTCAAGAGAAGTTTTTTATTTTAGTGAAACTTTAAATATGGTTAGTAATCACATCAAGACGACAATGAAAATCTGTAGCATCATAGTACAAGGCACCTCTTATATCTTTTTCACTGAACAATGAAAATCTAATAAATAGTAAATGCTACCAGAGATGAGTAACAACCAATGAATGATGATTCTAGATTTTGAAGAGAATTTCAACCTTAACCCAATGCCGCCAGGTGGTTTCCCTATGCGAGAGCCCTTTCTCCCAGACCCTGTTGATAGGGGATTGTGTTGGCACTATAGTTGCGCGGCATGACCATACTATGCCCTTGGAAAACGGGACCAGTGCACCATGGCACGTATGCACATGCCACCCAGAATACAGTCCAGGTATGCCATGGCATGTACGTACACGTCACCCGGCGGCAAAGGGTTAACCAAATAATCAAGATGTGTTTGGACTTGTTTTTATATGTACGGGTGAGAATGTAAACAATGTATCACCAAATATACAGCCAATCAAATGATAACAACATTGAATTCACATTATATAAGCTAAAAGGCATGTAAATATGGAAAAACAAGGAGCAGAAGCAGGGAACTTCAACCATGACCAGATTGCCTGGAAAATGATAAATAAATCACTAGAAGAAGCATTAGCACAAAATCAAGACCTACAAATACCCGTTCATCTGATGCAGAAGTTCCTTGAAGCTTGTAGAGATGTTTGTAAAAGATTTGTGCCCAAAAAAAAAAAGAAAAGAAAAACAAGAAACTTATACAGAGATGGAAAAAAAAAACTGCTGAGAATCAAGAAGGATGGGGTAAGGAAGCTAAAAATGACAAGGGACCAGGACAAAATAAGAAAGGATAAAATGAGAAGAGTCAATAAGTAACAAAAAGAATGTAGAAGAAAAATGACAATTGAAACTATAAACTGTAATATACTCCTACTTCTACGACAACAAATCAAATAGAAAAGTGAAAATGAGGGTGCTTCATTTACCAAATCAAAGGAAAGGGTTGAAGTCCCCAAAATACTACTGGAGTAATTTAGCGTGGCTATAATAGACACTGAACTTTGGAGAACCATTTTATGATGAAACTCAAAACCTCATGAAGTTCAGGTCTTCTGACCAGTAACACTAACATATTACATTTTAAAACTATTTGAAAGGATAATAAGCAGAGAAACTGTTCTGTATTTTAAAAAAAGTAAACAAGACATTATAAACTCCATATGGATTAGACCATGTCTTTCTCCAGTCCTAAATCACTGAAACTCATACTACAGCTCCTATCAAAAAACAAAGTATCTAACATAATATCCTTAGATTTCAAGCTATAAACAAAACTTGTCAAAAATACACACATCAAAAATAGGAGAAAATGAGATGGTGGATAAACAATATTCTAACAAATTACAAACAAAAAGTACTAATTAATAGAATTTCATTGCATGAATCAAATGTCCAAAAGGTCTATTCTTGGGTATCTATACAGATATAGAGGACAAACGTGAAGATCTAGATGCTACTTGTAAGTAGGTATCTGAGAATACTGTGAAAATTCAATGCTGATAAATTCTCAACTATAAGATATTGTCCAACTGTAACAAGGGACCAAGTTCAAATTCAACTGAGGTCACAAGAGATAAAATAAAATAAAAAAGCTGTAAAAGACTTAGGCCTGCTTATGAGTAATGACATGAGCTTCACATATCATACTGAGTATGCAATCAATAACAGAAAAGTTAACCCATTGGATCTAGGTGAAAGGGATGCCTATCATGAAGAAATTTTGCCAAGGAATAAGTGATCGGGAAAGTCTCGTCACAAAATAAAATCTGGCCAAGGGATGGGTAATGCAAATGTCTCACCATGTTGATGGGGACCTTTCATTATGAGTGCCCAAAGTACTTATAGGGAGATAGATTCAATTGGACTTTAGGAGGGGGTTTATTCATGAACTCCAGCAGCATGTAGTATGTACTGTATAGTGTGTGTGCTGTTTCTTATTTCGTGAGAGAAAGAGAAAGAGAAAGAGAAAGAGAGAGAGAGAGAGAGAGAGAGAGAGAGAGAGAGAGAGAGAGAGAGAGAGAGAGAGAGAGAGAGAGAGAGAGAGAGAGAGAGAGAGAGAGATACTCCAATAATACATGTATGGAAGATCACTGAAAATTTGGCACTAAACCTAAGAAAGACAGGATATTAAAGTAAAACATTCTCAAGTGAAACTCAACACTGGATGAAACACCAACACATAAGAGTAAAAGAGCAAGGACTCACTCAAAATCCTATCCTTCATCAAATTTGGTTCCTAACGGCTTTAAAGACGTACAATATTACAGGATGGCCCTGGCACAAACCACTGCCACAGTGCCACTCTTGCCACAATACAGTAAGTAACCAGCTAATAATGTAATCCAACTTTGATTTCAAACAATATGTAGCATATCTGTAATGTTGTTCAAGCTCTGTAATAAAAATGCAGATACAGAAAACCCTATCAATCAACTTGGTAAGTAATGAACATCAAATCAGAGAAAAATCAAATATAAAAATACATATATAATATAACATATATAAACAGGTAAAAAATAGACATTCCTCCCAGAACATTCCTATTGACAGAATATCTAAAGAAGCCAATATTTTTAAAATATAAAATGTCATATATAGAAAGATTATTCTTGCATTTTTCTAAAAAAAAAAAAAAAAAAAAAAAAAAAAAAAATTGTAGTAAATATATGGATATTCAACTTGCATTCTCATGAACAGAATTTACTATTAGGAACATAGAAAGCCTACTTAAGAGAAATAATGATTTCACAATCCAAGTTCTGTAATCAGACTTATCAAAATAAGATACCTTATGAATCAAAAGGTTAATTACATATCAGCAGAAGTAAGCCATTAACCCATTGCCGCCGGGGATGGCATATACATACATGCCATGCCCACTGAGTCGATCTGTTCAATTGTTTTTTACACATAGATGGCTACACTTGTACTAAGTATCCAATGAGCCAATTACGAATACTGCTGTCTCGCCCGTTCACCCTTTTCATCGATTTACGAAAATATTTAACGTTATCCTAATTTGCTGTTAAAAATAACACCATCTATATTTATAGCACTAGTAAGAATACGTTTTTTCACGCCAATTCAAGGAAAGGTGAAATCAGGACTAGCAGAGCCATCTATGGACAGAGATATTTCACAAAAATATAAAAAATGGGTACTACATTTCCCCCATTTTTTGTTCATTTTCCCCGGCGGCAATGGGTTAAATTGCATGCAGTCTTGTCCTTTGAGTTTATCTTCACTGCAAAAAGCAGCAATCAAAATCTACCTCTGCTTCTTTCACACTTTACAGAAAAGCAACATTTTCACGACTTTACACCTGTCAACTGGGTCTTACCTTGTCTAAATTATTGTAGAAATCTACCGCTCCCGCACATAAAAATCTGCCCAGAAGTGTGGCGTGTGTCGTGAAAATTGTGGCGACGTCCACGTTTTTTATTCTGAGCATGACGAGACCCACGCCTGCCAGCCATTCGTGGAAGTGTGCGCAGACGCGGGGTTTTGAGTCATGGAAATTAACCACTTCTGAACGAAACTGTGTGGGAAAGAAAGAGGCCAGTGATAAAAATGGACATATATCATATATATTTTATATACATATACATATATAAATATATATTTTTTTTATTTCTCACTACTTATATAACTACACCTGCATCTACATCTACATTTACCTCTACCTCTACATCTATATCTAAACCTATCTATGTGTGTATGTATATGTATATATATATATATATATATATATATATATATATATATATATATATATATATATAGAGAGAGAGAGAGAGAGAGAGAGAGAGAGAGAAGAGAGAGAGAGAGAGAGACAGAGAGAGAGACAGAGAGACAGAGAGACAGAGAGACAGAGAGACAGAGAGACAGAGAGAGACAGAGGCAGAGGCAGAGACAGAGACAGAGAGAGACAGAGAGAGACAGAGAGAGACAGAGAGAGACAGAGAGAGAGAGAGAGAGACAGAGAGACAGACAGAGAGAAGAGAGGAGAAAAAAAGAGAAAAAGAGAGAAAAATTGAGAAAAGGAGAGGGAGAGGGAGAGGGAGAGGGAGAGGGAGAGGGAGAGGGAGTGGGAGAGGGAGTGGGAGAGGGAAAAGGAATGAGAGAGGGAAAAGGAATGGGAGAGGAAGAGGGAAAGAGAAAAGGACAGGGAAAGAGAGAGGTAGAGAGAGAGGTAGAGGGAGAGGAAGAGGGAGTGGGAGAGGGAGAGGGAAAAGGAAAGAGAGAGGGAAAAGAAATGAGAGAGGGAAAAGGAATGGGAGAGGAAGAGGGAAAGAGAGAGGGACAGGGAAAGAGAGAGGGACAGGGAAAGAGAGAGGGACAGGGAAAGAGAGAGGGACAGGGAAGAGAGAGGGACAGGTAAAGAGAAATGGAGATGGAGATGGAAAGAGAGCGCATAGGACTGAAAGAGAAAGTATTAAAGAGTGAGACTGAGGGGGAAAAATAATACAGAAAGGAAAGAGAAATATATATATATAATATAAATATATGAGAGAAAAGAAAATTTTACCTCCTCAATAAATTTAGCCACCATGAAACCAAACAGAACTGCATCGTTGCACTCGATGTCCTGGTTGGGTATGCCAATCTTTGTGCTTTCATAAAACTCCTGCTTATAACTATATAGCTTGTCGGCAGCTGTGCCAATGTCGAAGAGGATGATCTGCGGGCTTCCATCTACCAGCCAACGTCCCGTGTGGATCTGTGGATCAAAACAGTTTAGGTCCAAGTTGTGGAAAAGCATTCGTATATAGCAAGAAAATGTGTCATCCTGTTCACTATTCTTAATCACTTCATATTGACCCTAATTCATGGACCTGAAACTATCCTACAACCTTAAATCCCAAGCCCAAAAGCAAAATTCAAGCTGTCAAAAGAAAGAAAGAAAAAAAAAAATTAAACCGATCTCCCAAAAATAATTAAAAACAAACCACTCACCCTCCACCCCAAGGATCGGACGCTGTTGATGGCTGCCGTGAGGGGCGAGTCGGCAGGGAACTCCCCCAGCTCCACCTCCATCCTGACGCTGGCCTCTTTATAAGGACCGAGAAGCACATACTGGTCCCCTAGTTCCTCGACCGACGCGCTGCACTTGCTCCGGATCACCTGGTAGATTCCACCAACTACAGAGAGAGAGTACAAGAGGACGTTAATAATTTGGTCCAACTTGGATTGGATATCAATTTCTTCTCGTAATGCACACTGTGTAAGTGTTTGTGTGAGTGTGAGTGTGTGTGTTTGTGTGTGTTTATGTGTGTATGTGAGTGTGTGTGTTTGTGTGAGCGTTTGAGTAAGTGAGTGTGAGTGTGAGTGTGTGTGTTTGTGTGTGTATGTGAGTGTGTGAGTGTTTGAGTAAGTGAGTAAGTGAGTAAGTGAGTGAGTGAGTGAGTGAGTGAGTGAGTGAGTGTGTACATACACCAACTGCTTTCCACAATTTGTGAAAATCTGACCAAGTCTTAGCAAATTCATATTTTGTATTCATAAGTCCACCCTACAATTTCTTGAAGACCTTGAGGACTTAAAGAAGAAACACAGACCACAGATCCCCCCACCCCCTCAAATAAAAAAGGTCGGGGGGGGGGGGGGGTGTTAAATATTGCCACTTGAAGCAACCCTCCATCTTAGCCTCAAACAACAAGCCTTAAATCTTAATTAGAATAGGTCATGAGAAGTTTTGCAAAATCCATGCAACAAAGATCCTATGATCACTCACTAGGAGGTTACCTAAATAAAAACATGAAAGGAAATCGATAAATCTATCGATAACCACAGATGCTCAAAAACAATGCCCTAGAGTACAGTAAAAGGCAAGAAAAATCAGAAGTAAAAACTGCCTTGTTAGCCAATGGGGGTAAAAAGAAGTCCGAAAATAATGTTTTTTTTATCATAGAGCTCATAATAAAAATTTAGGAATTACATAAAACGTTGTGGCTCTTTATGATAATTGCGAACAACAGAGTAAAATCAACATGGTAACTGCTCACTCTGGGGGTTTAACTCTTTCTGTCTCTATCTCTGTCTATCTATCTGTGTCTGTCTGTCTGTGTTTGTTTGTTTGTTTGTTTGTTTGTGTGTGTGTGCGTGTGTGTGTCTGTGTGTGTCTGTCTGTCTGTGTGTGTGTGTCTGTCTGCATGTGTGTGTCTGTGTGTGTGTGTGTGTGTGTCTGTGTGTGTCTGTCTTTCTGTGTGTCTGTCTGTCTTTCTGTGTGTCTGTCTGTCTTTCTGTGTGTCTGTCTGTCTGTGTGTGTCTGTCTGTCTGTGTGTGTCTGTCTGTCTGCATGTGAGTAGGTGTGTGTCTGTGTGTGTGTGTGTGTGTGTGTGTGTGTGTGTGTGTGTGTGTGTGTGTGTGTGTGTGTGTGTGTGTGTGTGTGTGTGTGTGTGTGTGTGTCTGTCTGTGTGTGTGTCTGTCTGTGTGTGTGTCTGTCTGTGTGTGTGTCTGTCTGTGTGTGTGTCTGTCTGTCTGTATGCGTCTGTCTGTCTGCTTCTGTCTGTGTCTGTCTGCCTGTGTGTGTGCCTGTGTGTGTGTCTGTGTGTATGTCTGTGTGTGTGTCTGTGTCTGTCTGTTTGTCTGTGTGTCTGTCTGTCTGCGTGTGTGTGTCTGTGTGTGTGTGTGTCTGTCTGTCTATATGCGTCTGTCTGTGTCTGTCTGCTTCTGTCTGTGTCTGTCTGCTTCTGTCTGGGTCTGTCTGCTTCTGTCTGTGTCTGTCTGCTTCTGTCTGCTTCTGTCTGTGTCTGTCTGCTTCTGTCTGTGTCTGTCTGCTTCTGTCTGTGTCTGTCTGCTTCTGTCTGCCTGTCTGTGTCTGTCTGCCTGTCTGTGTCTGTCTGCCTGTCTGTGTCTGTCTGCCTGTCTGTGTCTGTCTGCCTGTCTGTGTCTGTCTGCCTGTCTGTGTCTGTCTGCCTGTCTGTGTCTGTCTGCCTGTCTGTGTCTGTCTGTCTGCCTGTGTCTATCTGTCTGTCTGTCTGCCTGTGTCTATCTGTCTGTCTATCTGTCTGTGTCTGTCTATGTAAGTGTAAATGTACCTGTGCGTACACGTGTGTGTAAGAAATGGATAAAGGGAAAAAGAGATAGAGGGTTGAGAGAGATCTACAGCAATAATTCAAGACTGGTTATGTTCAAACTAGAAACCTGCGTATAAAACAGAGGCACGCAGGAGGTTTTGATTTATACTAGTTTTGCACCCTCCTTACTAAGATATAAAAACAACGCGACAATCAGATTTCTCAACGCTGGCAAATACTGTTAAATGCAAATAAAAAAGTGGTTGCATTTACCTAACACCAATACTCATATTTGCCGCCCTACGCCAGAGATAACCCACCGAGTTCATTATAACGGGGTCGAAGCCAAAGATCAGCTGATGACGAGACGATCACGTGACCGCACACCCTTACCAACGCCTTGAGGAAATTATTTTCTGTCTTACACCGGCATTACCTAACCAACCACAATATCCCAAGATCATAGATTATGCATAAGAGGGAGGAAAGCGTGCCAGAAGCAACATCGATATAAATATGAACGCACAGTGAGAAATTGCGTAAGACTTACAGCATCTGCCAGAGAAGTGACTTTGCAACGCTGACGCTGTTGCTATATTCGAAGTCGTATTGTATTTTGAAAGAAAAATAATCTATGCAACTAACCAATTTTTTTCAACAAAGATGTTTTACTCCCATAATGCTCCATTCTCGAGGCGTAATACTCAAATTCTTACTTTAATGCATGTTTAAAGGGGAAATTACGAGATGGCCAAAAAATCGTACGAACTCAACACGCGAAAATATAACATAACAAATAAATAAGGTGAGCCCTCATGACTAAGCCTGAAAAATGGACGGGAATGAAGCAAATTTCCCGTCAACCAACGAGCAAGGCCACTGCTTCCCCGGCGATAGAAGGACTCGAACAAGATTGTCTCCAGCCAGCAGACGACGTCCTTCGGGGTGAATGAAGGTCACGCCTCTGCCACCAGGACGACCTCTGGGCTCCCCTCCCCCCTCCCCCCTCCCCCCTACTACCCTCACTCTCAGACCCTCCCCCGGCCACCCTCCCCCCCTCCTCCTCCTTATCCATATCTTTCCTCCCGATCTTTTCTCATCCCCCCCTCCCTTCCTCCCTTCTCACGCCTCCCTTTCCCCTACCCTCCTCCAATACTCCCCCTTCCCTTCTTCCTTCCACTTCCCTTCCTCCTTTCACCAATCGCTTCCTTTCTCTCCTCTTCCCCACCCCTCCTCCCTTCCCGTTCACCCCCTTCCTTCTCCCATATCCACCCTTTCCCCTTCCTTCCTCCTTTTCCTCGTCTTCCTTCCCTCTTCCCTATCCCATTCCCCTCCTCCTTCCCTCCCCATCCCCTTCCCCTTTCCTCTCCCCCCCCCCCCTGCCCATCCCTCCTCCCCATCGTCTCTGAGGAATATCCTTTTTTTAGCGAAACTATTAAAACGGGACACTATTCCCATGTGCAGGCCGCTGCTATGCACGCCCGCACGTACGCATGCTAGATACCCTTTCCGTCCGTTTGTTTGTTTATTTGTTTCTCTGTTGTCTCTCTCTCGCTCTTGTTCTCTATCTTCCTCTCACTCACTCACTCACTCACTCACTCACTCACTCACACACACACACACACACACACACATACACACACACATACATACATACATACACACACACACACACACACACACACATACACACATACACAAAATAATAATAATAATAATAATAATAATAATAATAATAATAATAATAGAAATAATAATAATAAAAATAATAATAATAAAAATAATAATAATAATACAAGTAATAATAGTAGTAATAACAATAATAATAATAATAATAATAATAATAACAATAACAATAACAATAATAACAATAACAATAATAATAATAAATAATAACAACAATAATAATAATAACAACAAATAATAACAGAAAAAAAGACACACACATGCCCCATACCCAGAGCATGCAACACTCCCGGACTTCCCGCCATGTGCTGCTACGACCCTGAACACTGTCCAGGTTCGCTGCTTACAACCCCGTTTCTGTCACCCTCGAACCACCCTCCCCCTTGAACCTCCCCCTCGAACCCCCACCCTCCCCCTCGAACCCCCCTACCTCCCCCTCGAACCCCCACCCTCCCCCTCGAACCCCCACCCTCCTCCTCGAACCCCCACCCTCCCCCTCGAATCCCCACCCTCCCCCTCGAACCCCCACCCTCCTCCTTGGACCCCCACTCTCCCCCTCGGACCCCCACCCTCCCCCTCGAACCCCACCCTCCCCCTCGAACCCCCACCCTCCCCCTCGGACCCCCTACCTCCCCCTCGGACTCCCTACCTCCCCCTCGAACCCCCACCCTCCCCCTCGTGCGTGTATGAGTGTGTGCATGTACGTATGTGTTTGTATATATACATATATATATATGTATGTATGAGTATATATATATATATTTTTTTTTTTCTCTCTCTCTCTCTTTTTTATTTTTTATTTTTCAACAGCCATTCTTTGCCCTGCAGTACATCGGCCTCTCTCAATTCACTATTGAGAGATTATATGGCAGTGTCACCTTTGCCTGATTGGATGCCCTTCCTAATCAACCGTAGTTCGGCGCGCTAACACTTGTGCCACGGCGGTGACTTCCCCTTTGACACCTGCGTTTGACTTCTCAAGAGGATATGTTGTTTTCTCGGGCTCGAGTCAGCAATCAGTGTGTGTGTGTGTGTGTGTGTGTGTGTGTGTGTGTGTGTGTGTGTGTGTGTGTGTGTGTGTGTGTGTGTGTGTGTGTGTGTGTGTGTGTCTGTCTCCCACACACGCCCAGGCCCAAAGAACACCCAGAGGTCAAGATATTCTTAAAAAAAGACAACCCAAAATGTTGACGCCTTTCATCACGTCCAAACGGGGCAAGTGGGGTGGGGGGCGACCGTGCGCAATCTTGTGTGTGTGTGTGTGTGTGTGTGTGTGTGTGTGTGTGTGTGTGTGTGTGTGTGTGTGTGTGTGTGTGTGTGTGTGTGTGTGTGTGTGTGTGAGTGTGAGTGTGAGTGTGAGTGTGAGTGTGAGTGTGTGAGTGTGTGAGTGTGTGAGTGTGTGTGTGAGTGTGAGTGTGAGTGTGAGAGTGTGTGAGTGTGAG